CCTTCGATGAATCCCGGGGAATGGCGCCTCGCGCCGCGGTTATGGAGCTCGCGCTCGGTATTTAGATTCTTCCTCGCGCTCGCCCCCGTTTTTCCGGAGGTAAAACTTTAGGACGACTTAACTTCCGTTTAAGATCCAAATTAACTCGCGCCACGCGCGATTATATATTTTCGCAAATTTCCGATCGCTTCTCGCGGAACCCGAGAGGTGCGAACGTATGTGCGTATGGTTGGGCCGAGTAACGAACACCGGCGACGTTCTGCGGAAATTACATCGCGGTGCGTCCCTCCGGAGAAAAATGCAAGCAGCTCGATAGCGGCTTTCCGTCCGACGAAATTTCGTCCCCGCCACGGTCACGAAATACATCTCGTGCGTGTGTGTCGTGGTAAGAAACTCGCCTCCCACGGGGTCAGCCGCTATCAATAACAATCCATCATTTTGCAACGTATCATTTTGACGCACGAGCCTATGAAATGGGCTGCGATACGAGCGACGGCACGCAACGATATACACACACAAGTGTGCGTAATCGAACGCTCCCTCGTTCGTGGATATCGTCGACACGCTCGTCTACACGCAGACCGGGCATTATGCAATCTTGGGGTAAACTTAGCACTTAGAGAGGACGGGGAGTTAATGCAACATCGTCAGACAACGACGCCGGTAGAAGGACGCGATGGGCGGCGGTCCATAGCCCGAACTCTCCCCGGGCTCTCGGTGGGTGGCTGGGTGGTTCTAGACCAGGGATGTATCCGTCCACCCAGCTCCTGTAAGCCAGCCGACTCCCTCCACCCCGTCCCCACATTTTGCCCCTCGTTCGGTCCGGCCTCGCACCTATATCCACGCGAAAGCACCACGATGGCCCCTTCACTATAGACACCATAGTTGCGGCTAGTTGGCCGTCACCTCTGCGTCGACGCTCCCTTGTCTCTTCGACTGATTCAATTTGCCCGCCTCGTGGCTGTTTAATTACTGGCCGGAGAGTGGACCGTGGCCGAGCAAGACAGAAAGGCCGCGGGAGGGGGGAGCGTGAGCGGGGTGTCCGGCGAGGAGGAAGACGAGTAGCGGGCGAGTGAGCGAGCGAGCGAGCGCCCTCGGGAAAAGAGGGACGGAGATGCGCGACGGTTGTGGACGACGAAGAAGGAGGAGGAGGAGAGAGAGTCCACTCGAACTCCGCGCACACCACTGACAACCCCATCTACCGTTGTATTGGTGCCGCCGGTTCCGCTGCCACTAAGACACTAACGGAATAACGGCGCTCGCCGGTGGAGATTGTTGTTGATGCTAAAGTAACGGGCAGCCCTGAGGGGTCGACGCTGTGCACGGAAGGAAGAGAGAGAAAGGAAGGCTGACCGCGCGACGGAGAGAGAGAAGAGGGATTAGAAAGAGGGCAGCGCGACGAGAGAGAGAGAGAGAGCTGACCGACGGGGGTACGGAAGGGGTTGGGTCAACCCTGCGACGTGTCTTGCAAACCGAGCGTGCACCCTACCCCCGCCCTCGCATTCTCCAACTCGACGATGTCCTCCAGCTTTACGGTCGGTTTGGAATACGATTTTACTGCTATCGGATAAAGAGGCCGCCGGAGCGTCCTCTAAATATCGATGGCCCGGCGCGAACGATCCGAAAGAGAACGCCGGCCGGGGCACACAGTCTCCTTTTATGGCGGTGGCGTCGTCGGCGTCGATCACGTAGAGGAAATACCTGGGCAACACCTGAGCGCGTACACTCGGCGACATTTTTTTTTCACTCCTCAACACCCGGACGTGCTGTCGTTCAGAATTAATGGCCCGTTCATGCGCGTTGATGGGATTTGCATTTGCGTTTTCGAACGGTGTACACGGAATATCGCGGGGCCGAATAAGCGGGAAAATGAAAAATAATCTACTTAGCATTTATGCATACGTTTGTTCAGCATATGTATACGCATTTTGCATGATAAAAGGCCCGCTACAAAGGAGGCCTGCGCTACCGACATTATCGCTCGTCTTGTAAATCAAGCCGCTATTACAGGCTTAAATTAACGGGCGAATGACGTTCGCCGGCACGGACGCGAGAACGTTGCGAGGGACAAGAGGGTTAATAAGGATGGTTAATTCGTGCGCGAAATAAATCACATTTTTATTAGCGATCGCGCCGCAGTCGCGGGACGCCGAGCGGACGCTGTCTCTCGAACGCGAGATATCGCGCGCGAAATCATTCTCGCTACGTCGAACCGCCACACGCATTTAATAATAATCTCTCTCGCGATAAAATATATCACGGTATCAGACGCTTTTACGAGCTATCGTCTTACGTGGAGCGTAGACTCTTCTGTCTCTGCTCCCCCTTCTCTCTCTCTCGGCTCGACCTTGAATGGCGGAATGCGAGACGCAAATTTGTCGAGCGAATGCAGGCTGACGTCAGCCGTGGCGATGCACCCATCCATCGAAGGAAAGGAACGAACTTAATGGACGCGCGGATGGACGGATGGACCGCAGGCACGTACGCGAAGGCGAACTCTAAATTTACACCGGCCACCATCTCTCGCGCCATCGCGTATCTCTATTATAAGACGGCCCATAAATTCCCGGATTCATTATCATAAATTGGATCGCCATCGGGTCGTGCGCGTCAGCCGTGGAATGCCTCGCAAACGGAATAACGTGTACTATAATAAAGCTCCGGGCTCTCACTTTACAATAGCGCGGAGCCCGCGGATACCGGCGGAAGCAAGGTCATTGGTACCGGCGCATCGGGTCTTGCCCGATGTGCTCTTAGAGAAAGTTACATCTCCTCTTTATCTCGCCGCCGAGCTCCCAACAATCCCAGCCGTCTTGTTCGGTTATTGTTTCCCGTGCGGATTCGTTTGCTCCACTGACTCGCGTCGGTTGGATCGTCAGGTTATGCCCGGCCGCTTCGGGCTGTTCGATCACCGTTGGCCGTTTGGCGACAGAGATATGCGCGATTAATAACGCTCTCCAAAGTGCGATCGGTGTATTATCACTGAGAGAAGCAGTCAATAGTCGCTAGTGATCATAGTTATACGTATACTGTAAATCAATCAAATTTCACCGCAAAAGTTTGTTCACAACAGCAACTTCCATCGGAGAAATTTCAGTGCGGAAACAAGCAAAGAAAGATTATTATTTATTCATTCGTTTTTATTATTTTAATCCCGCTCTTAAGATATCGTTGATGATTTTGCCTGAAATATTCTTGTAAATATTTTTAATTCATTTCATTTATATCGTATTTGGAAAACATCCCGATGGGGCTCGAAACCTGTAGTTGCTGTCTGCTACCGTACGAACTACAAACGAGCCAAGCAAAAGAACGAAGAAGAGAGCTAAGTGGAAGGGTATCCACAAAAAATCAATGAATACCCGTTGATCATCGGTAGAATATTTCGTTGATTCAGTTAGTAACATTTTCACTGATTCAACTTAAAAGAACGCCGGCCGACACGCGGAAAGAGACGCATTATTATTTTAAATGCGGTAATTGTAACACGCTTTTTCCCGAAATTCACGCGTAAGCGAGAGAGTTCGTTGGAAGCTTCAGCGCGCGCTGAACGCGCGAGAGAGCCCCCTCGTATATTTATTTTATACGGCAGATGTGAAAATAACCGTAGAACTGGGGACTGTATTTCCGACAGGAGACCGTGAATTAATTTACGAGCAACAGTTCGGTCAAAGGCGCAGGGAATCAAGAGCGCGTTTCAGAGAGTCGGTATTCATCTTTCTCCGCGGGGCTGCGTATCAAAGCGAAAATTAATCCGCTCCCAGCGCGCGAAAACTCGTGACAACTGCGCTCCCGATTGATTTACGTCGTTCGCGATGTTTGCAAATGACTTCTGAGCAGATGCGCTGCCGGACAGTTATTGCTACTTGGCCCGCATTTCCCACTCTTCTTTCTCCCGTCCCTCCCCCNCCCCCCCCCTCCCGTCCGGCCGTCTTTCTCGTCTTTTTCGCATACTCGCGAACGCGTCTTGTTCCAAGCCCCTCTCGACGTTTATGACGTTACACAACAGTAATTCTGTCGTTGTCAAGGTACGGTAAAGGGACAGAAGCTCGGGCGGAGATAGCCGCGAGAGTGCTCGTATTCGCGATGACAGAGCTACGAGTGGTAATCGAGAAGTCTTTATTTATTGCGATGCTGAAATTAGAATGACGACACGCTGTGAAAGCGCGCCTTTCACCGGGACACATATTTATGCTTAACCTTTATTTAGCGATCTCTCGGGGTAACCGAAAATAGCTTTAATTTATGCATCCGAAAAAAATGTTAACGTTACGTCACGAGGAACAAACGTGAAAACTCGCCGTTTTTCGATAACAATAGCGTTTCCGTTTCGGGATTTCGCGAAATATCCGCGTGAATGACGAGCAATTAATCGCGCGTGAACATCCTCTATATTCCGTTAAATGTGTGCGCGCACTTTCAGGCAAAGATTGAAGGCCGTAGATATTGGAACGCCGCGCTGTTCGTCGACGTAGATCAAAACAAAGCGGATACGTGTTCGTGGGTGCAGATGCAGGTGCAGCCGACACGGCGCGGCGCACGTGTGTCGGGGTGGACGTGGGTGCGCGGAAGGGCACGTATACGCCCTGAACCTTACAATGGCACTCGAGTAACGAGGATCTCGCCTCGTCAGTCAGCTTGAAAAATTCCTCGGTCCGTTTGCCTCCGTTGCGCGGAGGTTCGCACACGCGAGAGAGAGGGATATCGCGCGTGTGTTGGTGACGCATACAACGTTTGTTACGTGCACTTGACGCGTGCATGTGGACCACGAGACGATGGTGCTGGTAATGGTGGTGGTAGTTGTGGTGTTGGTGGTTGTTTGCAAGGGGGGGTCGCTTCGGCCGCTTCGGCGCTGGGCAATAAAGTGTGCCCCGACGAGAAAGCTCACGTGTTCACGTTTAGCATTTATCGAAACCCCGTGCGCGAGATCGTAACTCGAAAGTGCAGGCCTGCCTGCGTGTCATGCAGATAGGTTTAAAAGCCGAACGTGCCGTACTTACAAATGCGCTCTTCGCTCGCCTCTCTCTTTCTCTCGTCTTCGTTCTTTCTCGACACGCGTCCCCTCTTCTGCTTATGTCTCCGCAACGAAACGCTCTGGCCTTAAGGCGGTTTTGTCGTCTTCGTCGTTGTCGTCGATGCGTGCACTCGCCCTCCTCGCGTGACACGAGCTGGAAAAAGTTCACGGGTACACGCTCGCGGAACGCAACCGTGAAAATTGCACGGATGTCGGGAAAAACACGGTAATCGGAAATGAGACGGCGGACTAAACGGCTGCCATGTGAAATTAATTCTCGCTTTTTGTCAAAGCGCACGCTAAATGAAACCACTGGCAATGATTGCGTTTACCGGCGGATACGGCATGCGTATTAAGCGTGTACGTGTGTGTATGTGTTTATAGGTCTTGGAAGTACCAATGTTGCGAATATTGTTTCGTGAGGAGGTTTCCCGATGTTGAACCGACACAATTTTGGGCGGAAGAACGAGACAAACGTGCGCCGCGAATCAACGTCCGAATTATCCTCCCCCCCCTCACGAAAGCAGCGCAAGGAGAATGCCGAGCGCGTGCGGAATCCGCCCGCGAATTATTTATTCATTACCGTGTCCGCCGTCTGTAAAAACTTGCGGATCCGGGGAGAGCCGTGGTGTTCGATCGTCTGTCCAGGAGCGCTCGCGCGTAAATCTCTCGCACGCGATACGGAAGTCACGAGTCTATAAAGCGCCGTCAAAGGAAGAAAAGGGGAAGAAGCGGGAGAGGGTGACAGAAGCGCTGAAAAGAAGTCTCGAAAGAAGCCGAAGCGGCGGGACTGCGTGACGAGCGGGGACCGTCAGTCGTGTGCGGGAGATCCGCGCGCGCGAGTACGAGGGAGGGTGCCGCCGCACACATATACATCCGACAACAAAAAGGGATCAATCCGCCGCTGGGTCGGAGGAAACATAAATCGTGGCGGCGAGACAGTTTTGGAGGGTGAACGGCAAGCGGGCCCCGGAGAAGTAGCGGTGTGATACAAACAAGATCCACTCGGCGACACGAGGCGGTAAATATATCGGGCGCGGCGAGGGAAAGACGGAATAAGTCCATAAAGAGAGATAAAGAAGGGGGGCGGGAATGTGTCGGGTGAACAAGGAGGGAAGAGCCGGCGGAACAGACTCCGATACGACGAAGGAGGAAGGAGTCGATGCGAGAGCATCCGCGGCATCCCACCGCGCGAAGCTCCTCTCTCTCTCTCTCTCTCTCTCTTCTCCTCTACCCCTTCCCTCTCTCGTGCGGCCAGAGAAACGTTTTATTTCGCGACGCGACACGACTGAGAGACAAGTGACCACATCGAACTGTCGTATTTCGGACTGTCACCTGTCGAGGAGCGACGGGTTCCGCTCCTCGCGAGAAGTAACGCGACAGCGAGCGCCGAGAAAGAGAAGGAGGAGGGAGGACGGACTTCTTAACGCCCGTGCAAAAATAGCGCACCCGTCTCTCTTCGCCCCCTCCTCCGTCTCTCTCTCCTCTTCCTCCTCTGTCAGTGAACGTATCCGAGCGGAGACCTCTCCGGGGCCACCGTGTCGGAAGACACGGCCGGGCAGTCCACTAAGTATGTCACGACGCGTCTTCGCGATGACACCGCGCCACGACGACGGCCCTCTCCTTGTCGTCGTTATCATCCGTGGGCGCACGATGAAAACTTTGTCGAGCCTAATTGCTACCGCTCGCACGATACTTACCTCGTATGAGGCCCGGCTGGCCAAGTAGCTCGACGACACGGAAGCGAGTTTGTGAGACTCGATGAGATAATTGCTATCTGCGCGAGTATTTTCGAGATACGAGTTAGGAAATTAACCGCCGATAATTAGTAGCTACATTGTAGCACCAACTATTCCGCAAGAGGTACCGATCGCATCACGTCACCGGAGAAGAAAGTGTTAATCGGTATCAATTCCGAGATCTGTTGCCGAGGCGTGCGGTGTGTGGCTAGAGTGGTAAAACAATTTCCACCTGGATTACCTCTCGGTATGTTTAAAGCAGTCACGCGTTCAGTCAGCGAAATGGGTAGTGAAATCATAAGAAAGAGGAAGAACGAAGGGTACGGAGCTGAAGCGAACAAGACGAGTAAGGAGAGGGAAAGGGAGAGGAACGAGAACTTCCTCGGGTCAGTGCCTCGGCTGTCCATCAAGCGGTCACCTCGCGCGTCCACTCGTGCGAATAGTTTTGCTCTCTTTCTCTCTTACCATCTCCGAGAGTAAGGCCTCAGTTAAGGCTTCGTCCACACCGAACAAGGACCGCGAGATCGAGGGCTACGAGAACGGGCACTCGTGGAGATCAGCGCGAGTTCTGCCTGCCTTAATGGAGACACGTTCGTGCGAGCCGCCTCTCACGGCGGCAAAACCGATTTATCTGCGCCCACGTTTCTTCCCGGTCTCCCTCCCCTTCCCTCCCCCCGCTTCCTTACTGCTCCCCTCCTATACCAAGATCCTCTTCCTACCACCCGGCTTCGTCGCCACCACTCTCTCTGCCTCTTTCTCTCTCGCTCCATTATCCTGTCTTTTACCGTCGCACCCCCGCGCGGGCCCTCGTGTCGCGTACATCGAGGATCTTGTCTTACACGGGAATATTTCACTTTTCCATGTTGCCGCAGTGAGAAAAACGAAGGGTCATACCGTACCGGTATCGACGGCAGGAGGAATACCACCGGCGGGACGTGAAAAAATTCGATTCCTACCTTCGAGAAACGAAATCGCTATTTACAGAGAGAGAAAGAGAGAGAGAGGTGCAGCCGAGAGCATTGATTTGACAAAAGAACGATCGAGCGCGATAACGCACGCCAATTGGCGAACGTGTACGGTAGCGAGCGAGTTTTTTAATTTAAGATCTGCTTTATCCATTCCTATTTGTCCAGTGCCGTTATGTTAAAGTAACAACTTTATAACAGAAACGGCTATAATTTGCAGGTAAATTTATTCCCGCTCGCGCACACAGATCCGCTAAATTCGCCGGAATATATGATCTTCATTTATTTTCCAGAAATATAAAAATTTATTCGTTTTCGTAAATTAGCTAGACGAAAGGTATGATAAATTTTACAATCAAATGAGATGAAATACAGGTCGCGGCTGACACCTTCTTTCTCCCCTCTCCTGCCTATTTTTACGTCTGAATTTCGGGCGCCCGGCCGGCCGAAAGTTGCGACGATCTATTTGACACTTTTAATATTTATTCGCGAGTCGTAAATGCTAATTTCGCGCTAGCCGGATTTTGAAATCGTGTCTCGCCAATCTCTCTCTCTCTCTCTCTGTCGCCGTGACTCTGTATTCAAATTATCGGCGCTCGGGAATGCGGGCCGGATCGTAAAAAAAGAAAGAAGAAGAGAGAAAAAGAAAGAGACGAGACACTCGCTGGAAAGTCCTTGATACGTGTCGCGCGGCATGGCAGCGGACATAGATCAGTCGGAATTACAGTCGTCACTCGACGAAATCGTCGTCAGACTGACGGAGTCGATCCCGGCATCCGTGAACGCGCCATCCATAAAGAACGGCGCGCTCGCTCACCCTGGCGCGGGGATATCGCTTCTTCGAGTGGTCGTCGTCGTCGCCGCGGCCGTTGTGAATAAAGTCGTAACTTAGCGCGCGGACACGACAAACAGCCGCCAGCCTATCGATGCAGATTTGCAAAATGTCACAGTTCGATGCTGAATTACGATCGTCGAATCGCCTCGGTTAGTTTTCGAGGCGACATTTCTCCGGACGAGGCTGCGCGCGAGGAACTCGTAAAAATACATTCCCACCTACGCCCCGAAGTAAGAAAGAAAGAGGGGGGGAGAGAGAGAGAGAAATGGCTCGATCGCGCGCCGTCAAACGCTCGTAAGTCGCACGAATTTACGATTAATACGCTCCGAGAGGCCGCTAGGCCCGCGTAATTATAGTCAGCCATGAGTCACTCGGAAACCGCGAATCAACGTTACGGGCGGCCCGTTAATTTGTTGCGCTCGGACTCGTTTCGCTTTGGTTTATCGATACAACGCGACCGTACGTAACCGCCGACGTCGCGGGGCCCCCTTTTTCGCGGCCGAAGATACGTTCATAACCTGTCGTCGATAACGTGTATTTACGATCGTCGACTCGCCGAGATCCTGTCGTTCAAGGTGGCCTGGACCACTGGCGTAAAAAAGGCTTCCACCTTAAGATAAGGCCGGATGGTATATCGGCGAATCAAATCGTAGATCACCGGGGATTCGGCTCCGGGCTTCATCGAGAGTGGACGCCTGCGACGGAGCTTCGAGGAGGCTGCGACCTACGTCCGGACATCGGAGAGAGGTCCGTATTATTCGTTCGACTTGGAACTTCAATGTCCGATTTTCGCGCCACGTCGGACGGAGTCGAGTGAGAGAGCGCGGGAGAATGAAGAAACTCGTGTCGTTCCGCGAACGCCGCACATTGTTCGCCCCACGTCGGAGGGAGAATCGGCGCGAAATCTGCGTGACTCGGGAGGGGACGGTCGACGAAATCTCCCCCGAATTAAATCGATATAACGGACGCACGAACGACGCGGAGACGTTAAAGCGCGAACATCGGGCGGCGGGTACTTCCAACGCGCGCGCGGAGTCGTAGATTTCAGAAAAGGAAAAAGTCGCGGGCGGGCGAGAAGGAGCTCGTATAAAACGGAACTAGAATCTATCAAAAAGAGAAAAGTCCGGGGCTCCGAGAGATCGTGCGAGACTCTGAGTCGTGGCTGAGAGGGAAGGGGAGGGGGAAGGAAGCGAGACGGAGGGAAAAGAGGGATGTGGCGAGCCGTAGAACCGGAGAGCCCGAGTTTGCCCAGGAGGCAATGAAGTACGTCACGGGGATGATGGACGTCTCCGCATAAACCTGACGAGTGACTCGTGGCGCCTTCAGGAACGACTCTGAGGAGCCTCCTACATCACTTTTATTACAGCCGTCCTCATTTTCATATCTCATAAAACCTCGAGGGCTCCGCGCTGTTCGCTCTTGGACGAGCTTGATATACGTATAATCCGCGATCTGACTTACGTGGCGAAATTATCAGGGCCTTTCCCCTCTGCCGTCGCGCCACTACGGTTCCATCGTTCGTTCTTTCGACTCTGGCTTTCGACTTTTTTTATGTGTCACTTGCGCTCGTTGACCGAGAACGCCTTTCTTCCGAGCTATTTTCCCCGCGCCCCTTCTTTCGAAATCGCGCGTATGTATATAATTGCGTGGTTATTAGCGAATTACGCTGATACCGAGGCTGACTTAAATCATGTTTTCATGGGAACGATAACGCTAATAAATACGTAAGTTAGATTAAACGATACAATTACACACGTCCGTCCACCAGTTAAACTGGATTCAATATAAATGTATGCGCCGGCCGCAGTCAACGCACCGCAATCATCGCGTTAAAAGTAGCTTTGCCTAACGGGAGAAACTTTGTAGTTGATTGGTTAAGATGCGGTGGATAATTTTTTCCCGTGCTGGAACTCGTTTCCGCTACTTCCGGTATTAAATCCTTAATGCAGTCCGTATTATCCACTCCCGCGAGTATTTCAATCCTTGCTTTCACTCGCCGCGCTCTTTTACCGTAATATCTTCCCCACTTATTATTCCTGCCGTGCCTCTCGCGCGGATGATACACTTTTTATTTTCACACACAACACGCGCGAGACGCGATCGTAATACGTACAGGCTCACGCATACAACGACGGACGATCATTCACTGCGGACGGCACTTGCCGCGTGTTGGTCGTCAAGCAACAATCAATGTCGAATTATCAAGTGCAGGAATACCTAAATGAACCAGTTAATGGGATCCAATTCGTACTTCTCCCTCTCTTTCCCTCTCTCGTATTTGTCAAACATTCGAGTAATGTCCTCGTTAAGGCTCACGGGCGCGCACACACACACACACATCATACAGAATCCTCGCATTCGCGAAGTCGAACTTCCTTAGCTCGTAATGTCGTCGTCGCGTGTAGATGGCCGCTCGAACTTGCTCGGGATTCCTAGGAAACACATCCTTACCGCACTCTTATTTCTCAAGTAAGGGGCAGGGTGGGCGAAGAGGGTGGGTTGCCCTGAACCGCCGACGGCAGGACGGTCGTGAGTGCCGGTACGCTGCCGGCGACAGTGAATGACTGCACTGCACGTGACACGAGACTGACAGGTTTATGCGAGCGCGCGTGTGGGAACATAAAAGGGAACACGTAGCTAGCTGCCTGCCTGCCCGTGATGTACGTCTGTTTGTGTAAGTGACACGGAGTGAGTGAGTGACACGTCTCTCCCTGGCAAGTCGCCCCCTCGCGCGCGCCGCTCTCCTACGTCCTGGTCTCTCTCTCTCCGTCGTGCACGTATGCGAGCGCTTGTACGAACGCGGACTTCGACGAGCGACCCTCTCTTCCACCCCCTCTTCGACCGACACGATAGTTCTCGCGTCGGTCTTTGTTGACTGTCGCGCGCGCGCTGACGTCACGCCGCCGCCTGCACTTGACGCCGCCGCGAGACTGCAAAGAGGACCGCTGCAGCGAGAGAGCGATCTCGCTGCTCCGAAATCGAAGTGCCGGGCGTGCCAATTCGGACACTGTCGCGACATCGTGGCAGCCGGACGTCCACCTCGCGGCTCCTTGTGCGAGCTTTCGCGTCAGCCGATCGTTTCCGGGGAAGCAGGGCGCGCGGCCAGCGGCTGCGAGCGCCGATTCGAGGATCCGATTGAGATCGTATCTAATCGAATCCGTCGACTCGCAGCGTACCGCCACTGCAAATGCCTCGCTCGCGATCTTGGCGCTATAAACCGCGCGTTTCCGCTCACGGAGACAAGGCTGCTCTCTCGTTATCGCGGTTACTCCGCCCGAATAGATCAGCACGCGGATCATAAAAGAAGATTACCGATGTAACCCGGCGTTTTACGGGCATCCGTCAGGGCGTCCGTCGCGATTAAAGCGGCGGCGACTCCCGCGGACGCTGAGAGAGGCGGGTCGGTATATACGATGACAGGATATTATCCCCCGTTGAAATCTATCGAGCGGGGAGGCCGGTTCGAGCGAGCTCGCCTTAAGTGCGCTTCGACGATGCGTTTACGGCTCCGCGGGATCGACTCGGTACACGTAACTCGCGCGGCATGCGTCCCTGATGTCAATCCGCATTACCCTTTCTCACGTTAATGAACGGCCGACGAAAACGGCCCGCTCTCGGCGCTAGGCTCTCGACGGCGCCGAGGCCGGGACGCGTCGTCTTCCTGGAATGTCCCCTCGCGTCTTGACGACCAATTAGCGTTTCGCAAAAGTGCTACGCAGGCGGCGAGGGACGCGAGCACTCTTCGCCAGGTGGTTCACCCTTGCGCGCCGGCATTAAGATCTTCCTCGAATACCCCGGCTCCTTCGCGCGCCGCCAATTATCGGCGCGAAACTGCTAATTATAGCATCCGGTTGCGCTCGATCTACGCTACTCTCGCGAGTACGCGGGCCCTTTTTTATTCAAATGCGCGGGACAGTCGTCGATCGGTATCGATAGAGAGAGAGAGAGAGAGAGAGACAGATAGTGTCAGACATATGCGCATTTGTATCGTGCAACGTATAACCCTCGAATGTGCTCGATCGCCAATGGACTATAACATCGATGTAATTAATTTTTATTGCGCTAAGTGTAAATGAATGGTATCGCGATATAATAAAACTGTAATGGAACAATGTAGTACTCGTGTCAAGTGGTGCATATCGCGTGCCGCTGAAATGCTTGCCCGCGCGCGCGTTTATTCGTAAAAATATTTCCGCCGCTCTCTGCGCTCTTTTTTTTTTTTTTTTACTTCAAACGAATTTTAATAAAAGCAGATATAAACGCAATTCTGATTTTTTTTTTTTCAAATAAAGAACAGATTAAAACGTATTGTTCCATTGCGGCGATAATATCGCGATTTCCTCTGATCGCCAATTTGCGATTGATTCGCGCTGACGAGCGCCTTCAAGCCGGACTCATCGGCCGGTCGAACTGACGATGACGGAGATCGCGTTGGCGACAAAGAGCCACGTCGCGCATCAAACACAATCAGGCATTACGCGTCGCTCCGTTCGGCGGGGGGGACGAGTTTGATGTATCGAAGGCCCGAGCGGCCGAGAAATCCGAGGTCTTCACACTTGGCGACGTCGTCGCCGGTAATCTCGATATCGCGACACATTCGTCCACTGTAAATACTCGTCCGCCCGTCGAGGTAAAGGGGGGAGGAGGAGGGGGAACGAGCGGTGACAACTTGTTTTCCTACGTAGCTGTACCGGGGGCAGATTTACGCTTTTGCCTGGGCGTCGCGACCGTTGTCCGCGAAGACGCCGTGTCCCCTCCGCGTGTATTCCTCCTACGTTTCATAATTATGTTTTTATCTAAGCTGCATCTGCAAAATTGCGCCAACGGCGCGAACGGAATTTTAACGTGGCAGACGTGCGCGCGAGCGCGCCCTCCCGCGCGCTCGCGGGGCTGCGATACGCGTGATTAAACGCGTTCGCGAGATAACGACCGGATTTTAATTAAGCGAAGACAATTAGCTTTTTCGATTGTCGCGCGAATTCGTGCGGCGGATCGAAAGCGCGAAAATCAGAAGCGGCGAGCGAACACGTCGGCGGCGGCGGGGAATTAGGAAGGGGAGCGAGGGGGTATGGGCGGAAGAGACGAGAGGTCGAAAGCTCGGCGTAGCTGAAATTTACGCAACGGCAACCAGCGACCTTTCCTTTACTTCCATCTAATTCAAAACTATAAATCGAGGGCGTCTGTTGTATGTATGACGGCGGGCTGGCGTGAACCTGCGAGAGCTTGGAGAACGAACGAACGAACGAACGAGCGACGGAAAGAGAAAGAAAGCCGGCGGCGGAAGGGGAGGAGAGTGAGAAAGAGTGGCAGCGAGAGACAAAGAGAGAAAGAGAGAGAGAGAGAGAGAGCCGAGCCGGGGAGTGCGAGGAGGGTCTGCAGAGCCAGAGTAACGTAACAGATGCTGCACAATAAACACCTCCCGTCACTTCGCTCCATAAATCGCGCGGCGGGCTCCTAGAAGAAACATTCAACCTCCATCTACTCCTCATCCTCCTTCCGAACCCAGCCACCATACCAGGCATCCCCGCCTTTCGTGCCAACACGTCGCAGCGTGTTCATCCATGGATAGCACGAATCGCGTTAAAGCCCCAGAGGACGAGGTAAATCGCCAACTAGCGATTTTCTGTATCTCGATGCACAGCCGGAACGGTTGCGCGTTCACGGTTCCTCCCTTTACAAGCGTTAATGTCATTTTTCGCGCTCGCCCGCGGAACTGTCGAATCGCTCACGGCTAGGTGCAATCGTCGCACCCGCGATCATTTGTACCCTTGGACGTTGCACGCGTCGAGAAGAGCCGTTGCCACGGGGATTTCAGGATGACGTTTAACGTACATAAATAATTATTTTTCTCCCAATTTTTGAAATTCGAGCTTTTCGAATGAAAGCTTTCGTATTCAAATTTTCATGTTGCTATGATACTTTTAATGATAATTTGCGCCTAATTAGACGGTCTATAAAAATCTACTTCGACGATACTAACATTTTTTAACTTCTCTCTTGAATCTTTAGTTCTGCAAGTCAAATTTTAATTCTACACGGGAAAAAATTAGTCTTAAATCAAGAATAGATATTCTCATGTATAAACAAGAATATTATAATCTTAGAAGATTTTTTGTCTCGAATTGAGTTCAAGTAATACTTGTATCAATATAAATTCAATCAAATCGAGATTGAAAGTCTTCTAAAAAATTATGATATTCTTGCTTGTATAAAAATATCTATTCTTGATTTAATCCTTGTGTCAATGGATGAGTACCCGGATACCTATTTCAAATTAAATATTATAATTTTTTCCTACGTTTTTTAAAGTAAATTTTGTTATGACGTTTCAGATCTCCTTTCTGTGAGTAAAAGAGATTTTTTGATTCTGAGATTTTTTTGCACCAATCTGATGTTTTTTATCTTTTTTTTTCCATCAGATAGTACATTGACGGGAAGATAAAAAAATGTTCTCCATTGACACGAGGATTAAGACTAATTTTTTTCCTGTGTATAATCCTTCAATAAGCTATTTTGACGCGAAAACGAAAATTTAAGACATCATCGGGATCAAAGGAATTATATTATATTATTTGAATTGAAATTGAGACTTGCTATCTCAGCTCCTACTACGTTGTAAAATTAAAGTTTTAACATAAAATCAAAATCTCGGTGCCTGGAAGTAATTTAAAGTACCGGCGAATAGAAAATTTATGCGGTCTTCTTTTTTTAATCCTACGTTCGATCCGGACGAAATAATTCGCTTTTTATCGCATAACACGATGTAAGCCCTTTGAAATTATATTAAAACAAGTAGCACGCGAACACGGTGCATGCGTAGACGCGCTCTCACGCGATTATGCGATCTTCTGGAACTTCAATGCGTCGCGCATACGCAAAAGGACAGAAAAAATGAAACGACCATTTTGATTAGGAGTTCATTAATTTATTTCCTCGCTTTCAACGAGCTTGCTAACTTCCTTCTTTGCGCTTTTTTGCTCCAGTTCTTTCGCGACTCCTCTCTCTCTCTCTCTCTCTCTCGTTTGCCCGGCAATCTCCAACTTCGCCTTCCCACCTTCTTCGCGGATCCCAAAGTAGGGCGCTCGAGGTGAGGGCTGGCGAGCGGGCGAGCGAGCGAGCGAGCGGGGTTGTCGGCCACAAGATTTACAAGAGCGGAGGCCTCGAGGGTTACGACTCGTTATTATATGCTTTAATTACAGCTCGCGGTAATGAACTATGTTTAACCGTAACGTGGTAGGCTTGGCAATAAATTAACGGCGTGGAAAATACTAAATCACAACTTTGCCGATGCTGCCGAGTAGATAATCGGACGCCGAAACAACTGTATACGAGCGTGCGGCGCGACGCCCACAGTGAACGCATCTATATTATGCGAATACACGGGTGAGTGCAAAGCGCGTTCGTTGCGCCGCGTCATAATCAGAATTGTCGGAAAGCGCGATTGGCGCGAGAGAGAAAAAACGAATGCAGTCGGCGGGAACGAAGGGGCAAGTGGCTCGCTGTACTCTTCGTGATCTTCGTGGCCCGCGGTTTCATTGCTAACTGACTGGACACTCGTGTCTCAAGGGAGGACGGAAAGAAATAGGAGAGAAAGAGAGGGAGAGAGAGGCTGACGTTCCGAAGAAAGGGGAGGTTACCGGCTCGAAATTTATCGGTCTCTAATTAAAGACCGCGTTATACCATCGGAAG